AAATAAAACACTAAGTTGAATTTGATGTTTTGAGCCAAGAATACACCTCAGAAATCCTTAAAGAACCAATATATAACACTAAGTTCAATTTGATGTTTTGAGCCAAGAATACACCTCAGAAATCCTTAAAGAACCAATATATAACACTAAGTTCAATTTGATGTTTTGAGCCAAGAATACACCTCAGAAATCCTTAAAGAACCAATACATAACACTAAGTTGAATTTGATGTTTTGAGCCAAGAATACACCTCAAAAATCCTTAAAGAACCAATATATAAAACACTAAGTTGAATTTGATGTTTTGAGCCAAGAATACACCTCAAAAATCCTTAAAGAACCAATATATAAAACACTAAGTTGAATTTGATGTTTTGAGCCAAGAATACACCTCAGAAATCCTTAAAGAACCAATATATAACACTAAGTTGAATTTGATGTTTTGAGCCAAGATACTTCCATAATTCTTCCTTAACTTTAATTTGTATTTTAATAAAACTATATTTTACCAGAGGTTTTCACATTCTTGCTGACATTAAATTTCATAATACATTTCTCTAAATTCATTTACTTTCAAATAGGCTATTGCTGGAAAGCAAAAAACATTAGTTAAAATACAATAATTTCCAACTACCTTGATTTAAACTAACAAACATCCCAAGTTTCAATAGCAATTTTCTTTTTCAGATTAACTCCCCAATGTTTCTCTCTCGAAATGTCCTAATTTTTAGGATATAACCTTTCCAAAAACACTCTTATTAAGTCTACATTTGGTTTCAATAAAACATCAAAAGTCATTTCTCTTGAGTGCTCTTCCAGAACCAAATGTTGATTCATGAACCTTACCCTCTCAGTACAAGCATCTATCTCTGGAGAATTGTTCATGTGTCAAATGAGAAAACAAAACCAACAGCCCCATACAAATAAGACAGGCACAATTCAGTAAAAACTTAAAGGCTCTAATCTGTCACAACAAGTCATATCATTCCAAAATAGTTTACAAATTAATAAATATAATAGAAAAATAAGCTCATTAAAGGACAAGAAAACTTTATCAGCCTAAATCTTATAAAGAGCACTATTATTTGACAAGCACTGAAGCAGTGTTTGTTTCTCTGGAGTTAAGGGCAAATTTAGGAGTAGTGTAAAAAGTTACGAAGGTTGCAAAATTTAAATTGCCTCTACCCTAACTGCAAATTCTGGACCAACTCTACGTTGTTTCAAGGCTTAAGAGGTAGCGGATGAAGTAAATTTTACTTAAACTAAGTTAAACTTAAATTAGTTTTAGGAAAGGCTTTATAATTATTTGGATATTAAAGCTGATATTGAGTTACTCAAAGTTAAGGTAGCTACTTACCCATCATTACTAAAAATTGGAATGAGTTGATGTCTTATTCTTACAGTTAACTAAAACGCATGAGTAGAACTTAGAAGGCACGAGGTCAACAACACATCCAAAAGTCAAAATAAATCGTACTATAGCCTATACAGCCTAGACGTATGGTATAGCCTATAGGTTACTGGTAGTCAAATACGAATTTTATTTTGATTCATTTCTTCAACTTAAAGATATATTAAGACACGACACTTTCCATTTGTTGCACGAACAAAATTCAATTTCAAGATTATAATTGACAGGCGAAACATACTAGGTATAACTAACATCACGAGTTTATCAAAACTCAAGGGTCACACTAAACGCCGAAATCGAACTTGGAAATCAAAAACGAAATATGTGTGAAAAATATAAAATCGGTGTAAGTTAATTTACATACAATTTTTAAGTAAACTAACTTACTTAGATTTGTATTACAAGTAGTAGATAATTGAATCTAATGTAGTAATATTTTATTTATTTTGGCACAGAAAAGGAGATGTTTATAACCATAATAACTTATTTAATGGTTAAATAATTAAACGTGTCTATTCTTAATATATTTCTTGCTTACTGAAAAATATTTCATTTTTAGGCTCCTTATTTATTTTTTGGTCCTTTTCAGTTTTTAATCTAATCAAAAATTGATGAACATGGCGAGTTCCGGTTTAACGCTAACGTAAGATCTTTTGACATGTTCTTGAAAAGGTTACTGCTTGGGTAGATATAGTGTATTGGGTTTTCAGAAAACATTTGACAAGGTGCCACATAAAA